AATAATAATAATAATAATAATAATAATAATAATATAGGAGCAAACAAGTATTTAACGAATACCTGCATCGTTGATCTCAGATTCAACAATTATTGATTAACTCGAAGATCTCGTGCCATCGATCTTAGATCTAGCCAGGAAGAGATCAAATTGAAGACTTCACGCCGTAGATCTTAGATCAACCTAGAAGAATCAACAACAAGTGCTGTCCTGACTTCCCTTCCCAAGGAGGGGATGCTAGGAAGCTCTCGAATTAAAAAAAAAAGAGAGATTTGGAGAGTAATATAATAAGATTATCAAAGCCAAAATTTTGATCAATCACTTTAATTAAATAAAGAAAAAAATCTTTTTGAATAATAGTTTGAAAAACCAATTGGGTAGTTAAAATAATAATAATAATAGAGGAGCAAACAAGTATTTTATGAATACCTGCGCCGTCAATCTCATATTCAGCCATTAATGATTAACTCGAAGATCTCGCGCCATCGATCTTAGATCCAGCCAGGAAGAGATCAAATTGAAGACTTTAGGCCGTAGATCTTAGATCAGGCCAGAAGAACCAACAACAAGTGTTGTCCTGACTTCCCTTCCCAAGTAGGGGATGCTAAGATTGATGCTATCAAGAATTTATGTAATTTTTATTTTATTTGAACAATAGTATATTTTGTTTTCTTTTCTTTTTAGCTATCCAATGATGGGAAAGCATCCAATGATCATGGTAGGTAGTGCATATGGCTTGGTAAACCTTTGGTTTGCGGGCTCGATTGGTCCCTGGCTGCTGATGATTCACGGGTTGGCTGTTTTGGAGCATTTGGTTTTGAGCTGATTCTCTAAGTTGCTTGAGCTGAAGTTTAGTAGCTCATTAATATCCAAAAAGGTACCTCATTATGAAGCTTACTTTTGGAGTGGCTTTGTCCCTTTCCCTTCCCCTTTCATCTTTCTTCTTGGAAAACCGTGGCCTGCTCTTTATTTATGGCTAATTTCAATGCAAAATATTAATGAGGAAGTTATTAATTTTAATGCTTTACCTTTGGGAATTCAGCCAGCCTTTTGTTTTTTCCTAAATGGAATGCTTTTCCCGTAATTATGCTGCTTTGAATTTCGGCCTGCTTGCTGGCTCCTTGGTGCCATGAGTTACCTTTGATTCCCGTAACTATTCCTTCAGAATTAATGTTGGGCTGTTTTTTCGAAATAGCTTGGGCTGTTTTCCGAAATGGCTCTTGGAAATCTATGAAAAAATAATGCTTGGAATGTTGTGAACATTAACTAAGGTGGCTTTTGACATTCTCCTACTTTGCCTATAAAAATGAGATGATGATGTGAAGGGAAGTAGTTGATATTTGTGAGCATATTTGCTATTAACCTGCGGGTTTATTCGGAAATCCTGCGGGCTCTTTCCAACCTTCTTTTCTCATCCCCTCCGGAAATCCTGGGATCTCTTTCCACCCTTTCTTCTCGGGCTTCTAATATCTTCATCTCTCCGCAAGTGCCACTCCATCTGTATCCTTCTTCTCAACAGTGAAGCAACTTGAGGGTGTCGTGTCTTGGTTGATTTGAAAGCATTTGGGATAGTCTTGCAGTGGTGGACCATCGGTTTGCTAGTTCTATGCACTTTACTTATTTAACCTACAAATTCGATGCATGTGAGGAATCCGCTTTGACGGTTGTCTGAGGATAGCGTTTTTTTTTATTTCTTTAAAATCTCCTAGCATCTTTTATTGTGTTTGTCAAGTTTTGGGTCGTTTACGTTTATTTAATAAAATTTGTTTTAAGTTCTACTCATTGTGTCAGATTTCTTCTTGTGTGTCTATTGTGTTCAAGAAATATAGGCTCCCTATATCTCTTGTCTACATCAAAGATGTCTTGAATTTAAAAAAAAAAAAGATTTGGAAATTAATATAATAAAATTATCAAAGCTAAAATTTTGATCAATCACTATAATTAAATAAACAAAAAAACCTTTTTAAAGAATAATTGGAAAAACCAATTGGGTAGTTAAAATAATAATAATAATAGAGGAGCAAATTGGTATTTGACAAATACCTACGCCATCGATCTTAGATTCAGCCATTAATGATTAACTCGAAGATCTCGCGCCATCGATCTTAGATCCAGCCAGGAAGAGATCAAATTGAAGACTTCACGCCGTAGATCTTAGAACAGCCCAAAAGAATCAACAAGTACTGTCTTGACTTCCCTTCCCAAGTAGGGGACTCTAGGAAGCTCTCGAATTTTCAAAAAAAAAAAAAAGATTTGGAGAGTAATATAAGAAAATTATGAAAGCCAAAATTTTGATCAATCACTTTAATTAAATAAAAAAAATATTTTTGAGGAATAGTTGGAAAAATCAATTGGGTAGTTAAAATAATAATAATAATAATAGAAGAGCAAACAAGTATTTCAAGAATACTTGCGCCATCGTTCTCAGATTTAGCCATTAATGATTAACTCGAAGATCTCACGCCATCGATCTTAGATCCAGCCAGGAAGAGATCAAATTGAAGACTTCACGCCGTAGATCTTAGATAAGGCCAGAAGAATCAACAAGTGTTTTCCTGACTGCCCTTCCAAAGGAGGGGACGCTAGGAAGCTCTCGAATTTTCAAAAAAAAAAAAAAAACGATTTGTAGAGTAATTTAATTAAATTATCAAAGCCAAAATTTTGATCAATCACTTTAATTAAATAAACAAAAAAATATTTTTGAAGAATAGTTAGAAAAACCAATTGGGTAGTTAAAATAATAATAATATTAGAGGAGTAAATAAGTATTTTTATGAATACCTGCATTATTGATCTCAGATTCAGCCATTAATGATTAACTCGAAGATCTCGTGCCATCGATCTTAGATCAAGTCAGGAAGAGATCAAATTGAAGGCTTCACGTCGTAAATATTAGATCAGGTCATGCAAGAACAAAAGAGACTCTTCCTAGATAATAGAAGATTACAAGATCTCACAAAAACTAAACGAATTAGACAAAAACAAACTTTTTATATCATAAAGACTCTTACAAGACGCTTACAAACGACACTTAGAAAAGGACTTACAAACTTAAGAAATAAAGACTTAAACAAGACGACACCCTAAAATTGCTTCACTTAGAGACGAAAGATATAGATGGAGTGGCACTTGCGGAGAGACAAAGAGATTAGAAGCCAAGAAGAAGGGTGGAAAGAGCCTGCAGGATTTCCGGAGGGGATGAGAAAGAAGAACGAACAAAGCTCGCAAGCTTTTCCAATAACCCGCATGTTAGATTCCAAAAATCACATATCATTCTCTTCCTTTTAAAAAGCCCAAAACATCTACTATATATAGGCATAAGAGGGGAACTAAACAGCCATTACAATATTAATTAAAAGCTGGAAATAGAAGGCCAAAAGGCACCTAAAAAACTGCAGTAGAAACTCTTGGAATTCTTCCCAAAACAACCACCAAACTGTCCAAATTTTGTCCTAAATATAGTCCAAAAACTGTCCAAAAACAGTCCAAAAAACTGTTCAAATTTTGTCCCAAAATACAGCCCAAAACTTGCATGATACCCAAGAGTCACAGCCATTCCAAGCAGAACAAGGCCACGGAACCAACCAGGAACAGATCAGCCATTTAGAAATCCCAAACGGCACTTGTTTTGACCCCTCCCCTTGCCTACATCAAACTCCCCTTCTTGAAGACTCAGCTCCCGATGAGTCAGTTCTTGTTTTCTTCCGAGGAGGCGAAGACCGAGCATCCAACTCTTGAATCTTTGCTTCATATTTCTTTAGGATTTCTTCTCGTTCTTGCAGGAACTGATCTTGCAAACGTTGCTTCTTCTTTATGTATCTTTCTGTACACAAATGCATCCATGACTTTAGTTTGTATAAATCTGATGGCCTTTCAATTACCTCATTTATATGGGAATATGAAGAGATTTTGGGATAGAATTTGAACAGTTTTTGGGCTGTTTTTGGACAGATTTTTGGGCAGATTCCTAATGTAGTTTTAGGTGCCTTTTGACCTTCTATCTTCCTATTTTAATTAGCTTTTAATTAAGTTTTAGTGACTATTTGTATTCCTTTCTTTGGTCTATAAATATGAGTTGGTTTGTGGTTGTTTTAGAGAGGATTTATAATGTGATTTTTGGGACAAAATCTGAGTGGTTTTTGTTTTGGAAATCCTGCGGGCTCTTTCCAATCTTCTTTCTCTTCCCCTCCGGAAATCCTGCGGGCTCTTTCCAACCTTCGTCTCGGCTCCTAATCTCTTTCTTCTATCCGCAAGTTTTCACTCCACCTGTATCCTTCTTCTAATGGATGAAAACAACTTTAGGTGTTTTATGTGAGTCGTTTGTAAGTCGTCAAGGTTTGTAAGTGTCTTATAAGTCCTTTCATAATATTAAAGTTGTGTTTTGTTTTGTGCAAGTGTCGTCGCCTTATCTTATGTTAAATTTTAGTCTCTTTTAAGTTATAGAAAGAGTTCGTTTTTGTGATAAAAAATTTGGGTCTCTCTCCAAATTTTTGATTGCATCATTAGGCCAGAAGAATCAACAACAAGTGCTATTCTTACTTCCCTTCCCAAGGAGGGGACGTTAGGATACTCTCGAATTTTCAAAAAAAAAAGATTTGGAGAGTAAAATAATAAAATTATCAAAGCCAAAATTTTGATCAATCCCTTTAATTAAATAAAGAAAAAAATCTTTTTGAAGAATAGTTGGAAAAACCAATTGGGTAGTTAAAATAATAATAATAATAATAATAATAATAATAGAGGAGCAAACAAGTATTTGACGAATACCTGCTCAATCGATCTCAGATACAGCCATTAATGATTAACTCGAAGATCTCGCGTCATTGATCTTAGATCCAGCCAGGAAGAGATCAAGTTGAAGACTTCACGCAGTAGATCTTAGATCAGGCCAACGTTTAAAATTGCGCAATAAAAGGCGCGCCTCAGCACAATTTGGTCCATTTAAGCCTCAAAGCCCACGCAATAAGTTCAGTTTATGAGGCTTACGCCTCAAGTTTACTGAGGCGTGCCTTATGGCGAGCCTCGCCTCATATATTTAAGGCGCCGCCTCTAAAAAAATTAACCTAAAGTTTTTTTTTTCAGTTCGGACCCCCAGTTGCCGACATGGCGCGCCTAGTGACATGTCGACGAGGCATCAACATTTAAACCCTTGTAAAGGTCGAATGACAGAGGCGACGTATCGATTTTCAAATTCCATGCTTCCAGCAAACATTCGAACTTTTAAGCTTTCAATCCAGAGCAATTTCAAGCATTCTTTACTCAATTTATTCTAATGTCGTCACCCCCAAAGAGAAAGGTAACTTAATGCAATGTTTTTTGTTCCGTACTCTGTATTTTATGATTATGCTATGCGTTGGTGTTCAAGGTTTTGAAGATCTTCATATTTTATGCTTATTCTATGCGTATGCATTGGTTCTCGAAATTATGTTGAAATTTGAAACTTAAACCCTAACAAAATTTTAAGCACCGAGTAATCTATGCATATGTTGTGCGACTCACTACATATGTTGTGCGTATGATATGCGTGTAATCTGCGTGACCATTGCTTATGTTGTGTGTACATTCTGCGTGCGTATAATTTGCTGTCATGTTTTCTGCAATATGCGTTCTTGTGCGTATGTTATGCTTACACAATGCGTGACCAGTGCTTATGATATGCGTACTGTATGCGTTTGTATAATTTGGTGCTATGCAATGTGCGTTATTGTGAGTATAGTGTGCATAATATATGCATATGTTATGCGTACACTGTGTGTGTCCGTTGCTTTCATTGTGTGTATGTTGTGCATTTTCTTTGCGTATCTCATTTACTTATTTTTTTATTTATTTTTAAAATTTTCAGATATATGTTCGTCCAATTACCTATCGATGCTATGTTTCTTCGTTTCGATCAGTCTATGATAACTTTGCTTAGCAAATTACTCCTGAAGTCGTGGACTCATTGAAACGTTTAAAGATCATACAGTTTTTGGAATTTCCTGGGTTTGAGCAAAATGTCCCTTTAGAGGCTATGTTCACATCTACACAGTGGTTGAGTTGTGCTTGGGCGAAGAAGGCTGAGGGAAAAGAGATTAGAAAGATTATTTTAAATGACAAATTTTGGCAAAGTGTCTTATATGTCATTACAACCACTAGACCTTTAATTCATATTTTAAGGATGGTGGATGCTGAGAAGAAGCCTGCAATGGGTTTCATCTACAATTCTATGGATGAATCCAAAGAGATGATTGCCTCCAACTTAGGAGGAAGTGAGGGAAGCTTTAGGGAAATTTGGAATATTATTGATGATAGGTGGGAACTACAGTTTCACCGACACTTGCATGCCACTGGCTACTACCTAAACCCTCAATATCAATATGCAGAGAACAAGTCTACAAACCCTAAAATAAAGTTGGGATTATATTATTGCATGAATCGTCTAATAAGTGATGCAACTGAAAGATCAAATGGGAAGCTTCCCTAAATAAATCAAATCTGAAATTAAAATTCAGATTTGATTCCAATCCATAATTAACTCCTTTGGACCCACATATATTGAACCTAGACATCTATTCCCCTCCCCATATGGCCGCCCCCCCACCTTTCCTTTTTCCCTCTCCAATCAATTCTCTAATTCAAATTAAATGCACCCTAAGCCTCTTCTAAATCGCCGGTCTCCCTTGAGCTATTTTGGGAATATTTTGGATTTTAAATTACTCCCTACCCCTCTTAGAAAAAATTCTGAAATAAATTTTAGATTTTCTAAAACCTCTTCCCCACCTCCCTAGCCCTAAACCCTAGCCGCCCCTTCCCTTTTCCCCTCTACCCGAGAAGCCTCACTGCCATCTCTTCCCCTCCTTTCTCCCTTTACTAGCCGACGGACCCTCCAAGGATTCACAACAAAGAAGATTCCCATGTTCATGGATGCCTGATCCTGAAGTCGACCATGGATTTGCGTACGATCCTCAAGGCGAAATTGATATCCTTCAGTTACCTTTCTTCAATCCCAACTGGGAGTTTGAAGATTACGTCGAAGACTACGTCAACCGCATTCTATTTCATCTAGCCGAGACGATCGACGAACAACGACCACCCGGATAGTAGCAACTCATCGGATGTTCACCTGTGACTCCTTCTCCGACTACCTTCCCATGGATCAAGACCGTCGGCATCGTAACTTTCTTAGTGGTATCGTTTGGTTTGCTGAATATCTCTCTCCGCTAAAGCCCCTTATAGAGTGTGAGTGAGAAAGGAAACTCGATGTGAAAGCTCTTGATATTAACCTATGGATTATTATTACATTACATCTAGTTTTATTGTATTTTCTGATATTGTTTTAAATTGATCTATTTTCCTAACATTGTAGCTGCATGCCAGAGCTAAATGTCAATGGATAATTCCTAAAATTAATTCATGTGATTCATTAAGCTTAAAGTAGCAAGCTTACAATAATTTTATAATCCCCTTGCAATTCCTGTTTGTTTCGCATAAGAAAGCTTAGTTTTTCTTTTTGCTCAGGATTATTTTTCAAGGCTTTTAACTTATTTGTAATCATTGCATGCCTCCTTATTTTATTTTTTGCACTCTTTAAAAACATATTTCTTATCCTTAAAAATCTTTTTTATCTCCTCATTTTATTACCAAATCTTCTTACTAATGTTCAAGGACTCCAAAAATTTCTATGACAACCTTCTTAATTGAAATTTTCATCTTATTATCTTATCTATTCTCTGTTTGGCTTAATTAAAGAATTCAAATTTGTTTTTCTACGCAATCTATCTTGAAAGATTAGATTACTACTTCCAAAATTTATTTCAGCTATTTATGTCAATGCGGTGTACCTAAAGGCTTGAACTTTTGTTTTGTGGTCTATAATTGATTTTACTTTTGCTTGAATGTATGCAGTCTGCTGCAGAATTACTAGATTGCTTACCAGACATAGCATGCTTTGGGAAACTCATGACCGGTGGTATCATTCCATTGGCAGCAACTTTAGCTACAGAAACTGTGTTCAATGCATTCAGAGGTGATTCAAAGGTATTAGGTTATGCAATCAATGCAAAAAAAAGAAATTATGTTTCAGGATGTTTCAAATCTGGAATCTTTGTTTGAAGAATACTGCTTGTTAGTTTTAAATAAAATGCCAAGTCTGTTTTTAATTTCTTCATTCAGCTCATCGCCCTTTTGCACGGACATTCATATTCTGCCCATGCTATGGGTTGTGCTGCAGCAGTAAAATCGATGCAATGGTTTAAGGATCCTACTACAAATATCAATATTGAGCATGGAGAAGGAAAACTTAAAGAGGTTTGTTATCTCATTCCACAGTCGTTTACTCATCTTCAATTAGTAACATATCAGAAACATAGTAAAGGTTTGGTAGCCATGATATCCCATGAAAAGGCACTGTTTGGAAGGAACGTTTTGACATTGAAAATTTATTTTCCTTATTTGATGTGTGTTTGTGGCCATGTTTTAACTGGTTATTGCATAGATTGGGCTTTTTCCATATCATATGGAATCTCCTTTTGCAGCCTCCGAATGCACACCTATTGTATAAAAACCGTAATTAGTCTTTCATATTCAAATTTCATCATGCGGTCCCCATTCAACTGAAACTCTTTGCGACTTTCAAGACTTGACTAGAATCTTACAAGTTTTAGTTAGTGTAAAACCAGTAAAATTTTAAATCCATGAAATTAATGCTTCATTCCTTCAGTGCACATGATGCATATGTAAGTTTGGAGTGGAATATATTTTGGTTTTATTATTAATCAAGTGTAATAAGACAATATTTATAAGATACTTGGTTTCTTTACACATTTAATTTCTCTGATAAATTGCCAAAATAAAATCCAGATGTAAAGTTAAAATTTAAATAAAAAATGATCTTTTAATTAATTTTGACAGTTTGTCATTCATTTCATTCGAGAATTTAACTCTTACCAGGACACAATGGAGAAAAATGATTCATGTAGCCGACCCCATATAGTGAGATAAAGGCTTGTTGTTTTTGTTGTTGTAGTCATTCATTTCTTTCAAGATAAACTATGCCAATGCAATGAACGTTGTTGAAATTAAAAGAAATTAAATAAAATAAAAAATTTATTATTATTATTCTATATATATAAGCACGATGGACACGAAGCACATCGTCGCACGTCCCCACGACCTTGAAGCAAATGTCGGCTAAACTCATATAAAATTGTGAAGAAACGAAAAAAGAAAGTTACGCTCACTTGCAATCGAAATTTTGGTTTCTCGCTTTGGCTATCCTATCCAAATCCCAAACCATCAGTCTCCCCGCTTGGCAATTCCCACATGCGAACAGCCTCTCCAATCTCGACCTCACGATCATGTTCGACACCCACCTGTGGCACCTTCCAAACCTAACTCCACCTAGCACAGGAAAATTTGTTTGCCGCCTATCTCCCACGTGCAAAGCACTTCCATGCATGCTTCCTATCTGCCCCACCGCGAACAAAGCTGTCCAAACACCCTCAGCCACACGGTTATAGCCCATGAGCCAACATCCAGTTTGCCTCGCCTGCTAGCAAACCCACGCCCGAACGACTGCATGTCCGTTTCATCTTCTGTGAGCATGCTGCCCACGCCCAATAGCAGCACCTATGTAAAGCTGCACACAAACCTGTACTCATTCATCCACGTGAAGCCAAATCCACGCGCTAACCCGCTTCCTGTTCGTTTCACTGAAAACGAACTTGTTCGCTAATACTCGCCAGCTCGCAATTTTTTTTTGGACAGTAGCAATCAGCCATTTGAAACCGTAAGTATTAGCATGAGAAGGGTATACATATAAAATATATAATACATAAATAAATATAATGATAATATATATTTATATATAAATAAGTAGCTCAATCACAAAAGGAGTCGTAAACCGATTCTGGGGTTGATATGCCCCCCGAAGTCCTCGAGCATCGATTATTAATCCGGTTGAGCGGATTAAAAGGGCAAGTTCCCTCCCCAACTTCTCGTCTCGGGGAGGGGGTGTCGAAAGTCTATCGAAATCCTAGGGAAACACCAAATTACAAATAGGTGCTCTCGAAGACCAATACCGGGGTCGATTTGCTCCCTGGAAGCCCTCGGCTGTCGATTCTATCTAGTCGAGCATACTAAAAAAGTCAGGTGCCCTCCCCAACTATCACGACCCGGCCAAATAAGCTCGAGTTAACGAGTCAGGAACAAATGGTCGCACAAAAAAATAAGAACTTTCATTTCAACATTAACATATCCAAATATTCATCCAAATACAAAATTGGAAAGAGCCACTAAACATCTATTTTGAATATTTCTATTACATCAGAAATAACAATTCATAACATAAAGTACAACTACTAGAAGTGGACCACATTACATAATCCATCACATGACATAAAATAACCATAAAGAACCAATCTCCTTGGGAGTCTCTAAGATGGTAAGTGATAGGTCTATCAGCCATCAATGCTTAACAGATTCTCCTAAAAATTATTTCCACAACCAGGGATGAGCTAATGCTCAGCAGATAATAAATATTTTTATTAAATTCATAAAGCAAGAAAAGAAAAAAAACATTATGCATGAAATTTTTTTCATATGATAGTACTTAAATATCTTTAAGAAGAACTACTATAAATGTCATAAATTGATGTTGAGTATGCATATTCTGTATGACATCATAAATGCTCATTTTTCTTTTATTTTTTTATATAACCATAACTTTCTCAATTTTCATTTTTTTTTCATAACTTTTAAATTATACTCTTTTATGCATATTACACTTATCCATAACCTTATACACCCAACACGGAAGTACCAAAATTTTTGTACTGATCAGGTACACTTTCAATTTAGCCAATCATTTTATTTTTTAGTCTGCTCCGAGGAACCATAATTGCATTTACCATCTACATTTATTATTTTCCTTTACCATTTAGTACTTCGTATCAACATACATATTATTTCATGCATTATTTATCGTAAAAGAAATAATAACATGCATCCAATTATATGCTCTTATCTAATTTATTGTTTTCATGAAATTCTACATGTAGACATTTAAATAAATCTAAAAGAAAAGCATGGACTATCATTACTTACTGTAGTATAACATGGAAAAATTAACATGCTAATTTCAACTAATAAAAAATATTAAACCATATACATTTTAACGAGAGAGAAGACATGAAATTAAAAGAAATATTAGTGCCTACCTCAAAAAGTAATAAGTAAACATTCTACGAGTAAACTACGCCGCTTATGCTTGTGGTGTATGCCTTCCCTTATATCCAACACCTAAAATTAATTACAAAACATTATTACTTACTCATTAATCATGATACGTTTTCATCTATGTTGCACCGATACGGAAACGGCGACATGGATACGACACGATTCGGATACGGGACACGTCAATTCTTAAAAATACATGATACGGGTACGGCGCGGACACGGCATCATAATTTATAAATTATACATAAAAATTAAAAATAGCAATCAAAGCATAATATTTGAAATTATAAAAAAAGATGACAACAACGTCATTTGTAGGCTTGTAGCTTATAATATCAAAATATAAGTAAGCATTAAATGTCTAGTACAACAACAAAAGCATAAACATAAATTGTTGTTGAAGAAATCTATATGAAAATGAAGAAATTTCTTTTTTAAAGCATACCTTAGCCTTCCTTCCTCTACACTTTCCCCCAAAGAGAGCTGCCATAAACCGCTACCGTCGCTGCCCTAGAAGCCCTCTGTTGCCCCCCTCTCTCTTTGTTTTCTATTTCTGGCTGAAGGTGGGGGATGCAAATAAGAAGGGACATAATGGATTCGGTCCCTTAAAGCCTTGGGCGGTTAAGGATTTCTAAAAGGCCATAATATCCTTGTATGCCTTAGTTTCCTAAAGACCCTTATGGGCTATTAAGTAATTTTTACATTAATAATCTTTGGCGATTTTTATCTCCCAAACTGTGTGAAATTTACTATAAGTTCTTTATACCAAATTGATCGAAACTAAATCTACAATTTTATAAAATTAATTTCGTTGAAATCCAACAACATCTAAAATTTGCTTAATTTTGTCACGATGTGTCACAAAGTATTGTTGCGCTACGATTCAGTGTTTTCGGGTTTTACACCAACCTCCCCTTGCTGGGAGAGGACTTCGAGAGGTTGCCGATATCATCCCGGGAGATTGGGAAGATTACCGAGAGCTTTTTTTCCAGTCTACTACTGCGCCTCAATGCATTTGGGGATAACTAGCTAGCTCTAGGTTCGAGTGGCATTTCACCCCTATCCACAACTCATCCGCTGGTTCTTCAACATCAATCGGTTCGGACCTCCACTTAGTTTCACCCAAGCTTCATCCTAATCATGGATAGATCACCTAGGTTCGAGTGTATTAGCAGTGGCAATCGCCATATGAAGACTCACTTTCACTATGGCTATGGTGGATTCCCGTAACTAAGCCACTGCCTATGAGTCATCGGCTTATTCTTCAACAGGCACGCGGTCAAAGATTATATTCTCCTCCCACTATTTGGGAGCTCACGGTTTCATGTTCTATTTCACTCCCTAATGTGGATTCTTTTCACCTTTCCCTCGCTGTATCACTTTGCTATCAGGAGTATTTAGCTTTGCAAGGTGGTCCTTGTTTATTCACACGGGATTCCACGCGCCCCATGCTACTCGGGTCAGAGCGTAAGCTAGTGATTATTTCGGCTATTGGACTCTCTCCATCTTGGGTGCAGCACTCCACCGCTTCACCCAACAGCATGACGCTTGTATTGCTCTCCCACAACCCCGTTTTCATGGTTTAGGCTGCTCCCATTTCGCTCGCGTCCAGTTCCTATAGAACCTATCATTGAAGTACCTCTAGAAGGGGATAGGGCTAAGCGGAGCGAAAAGGGTTTTCCCTGAGGAGATGGGGAATGAAAACTATTAGCCCCAGACGAGGTTTGTGAATAAGTGATTGTCTGATAATGAGCAAGGAATATTTATCTTTTTGTTAAACAGGATCTATTGAACTCATAATTTAATATATCCTTTTGATGAATGTCTACTAAGTATCGTAAGGAAATTGGTCTCGGTTGTTCAATCATTTGATAACTAGAGTCATTCTTTGATAAATGATCACTATGAATCAAACTCAATAGAATTTGATCAATCATTTTTTCAGTCGTTAAGGTGGAAAAATGAACCAAGAATTATCTTTCTTCATCATCAATTGAATCACTATTCGCGACCTAGAATTCTATTTTCTCATCAATCCAATCACCGTTCACTTTTTTTCTTTTTCTTATCAATGAATATATCTCTTTACTTGTACGACTCAGATGTCTCCTATTTCTAAAAAAAAAAAGATCCGATTGATGGGTTTTTGATGTAGGCAAAGGGGGTTTAAAACATTTTGAATTATAATTTTGGAGAGTTCTAGGTCCTCTACTAGAATCAACTCATTAATGTCTAGTAGAGAGCCTTTCAGCTCATAAATCTGAAATTAATTGAGGTTCATTCCCCCTCTCTATTGGCTCTTTGGTTTCCCCCCTTGGTTCTTTTTCCCATGGCCGGTTCTTCCCCCTTTAATTATTTGCTTGTTCTGATTCCCTAGCTGTTGTCCCATTTCCTGGGATGTTAGTTCCGATCCCTGGGCTGCTGGTTCTGATTCCCTGGTTGTTGGTTTCGTTCCCCTGTGATGCTCCTTCGGTTCCTCCCCTGGATGCTTGTCCCGTGGCTGCTTTACCCGGTTTTTCTATGGCTGTTTGGGTGTTGTTTCTGGACAGCCAGCTGGCCCCTTTTGTGGATCTTTGGGTGTTGTTTCTGGACAGCCCCTTGGCCTTCCATTTTCATTGTTTTAATTAGTTTAAATGAGGGAATTTTGGGCTGTTTGGTTGCCCCATTTCCCCTATAAATAGTAGATGTTTTGTATTCAAAAAGAGGATGTTATAATCATATTTTTTGAAGCTAACCTACGGGTTCTCGTGGAAAAGCTTGCGAGCTTGTTACATCTCTTCTCCTTCTTTTAGGAAAGCTTGCGAGCTTGTCCTCCTCCTTTGTATCGACTTCTTATCTCGTTCTTCTCTCCGCAAGATCGACGCCACTTGTATCCTTCTTCTCAATTAAGGAAAAACAGTTTTATGTGTTATCTTATAAATTTGTAGGTGTTTGTTTTTTTATGTCATAAATTTGTAAGGGTTATCTTCATCTTATAAAAGTTATATTGTGTTTAAATGTTGTATTTTGTCTAAGTGAAGTATTTTTAGAAGGTTGTGCATGTATTTTCTTATTTCTTAGAAAGCCTTTTCTTTTTTCGAGCAAAAATTAGGTCATGTATTTTCTTATTTCTTAGAAAGCCTTTTCTTTTTTCGTGCAAAAATTAGGTTTTCTAATTTTTTCTTGCATCAATTTGGTATCAGAGCCAGTTATCGAGTGAGTCTTGGTGAGTCATAATAGTTGTTGTGTGAGTCTTGGTATCGAGTGAGTTTAAGTTTTGTTGAGTCTTCTTTTCTTTGTGTTTAAAAAAAATGGAAAAAGACAAAAAAATTGAATCAGTTGTGGAAGAATGCAATCCAGAAGATCTTGAAGTCCCTCTTCCAATGGATAGATAGATTCCACCGCAAGGAGATTCTACGGATCCGATTAAGAGGGAATTATATAAGCTTCAAATAAAAATGCAGCTGTGTACGGAAAATTACGAGAAGATAAAACGTATATTGCAAGATCAATTCAAGCAGGAACGAGATGTGATTCTGAAAAAATATGAAGCCAAGCCAAGAGTTTGATGCGCCTCTTTCATCTCCTCGGAATAAATCTAAAGTAACCTCATCGGGAGATGAGCTTTTTCAAGCGGAGGAGAATTGATGTAGGCAAAGGGGGAGTCAAAACATCTGGGGTTGAGCTTGGGCTTGGCAAGCTTTGGATGTGCTAGCTACTTGGGTTCTTTTGGTGTTTGGGCTGCTGGTTGCCTCTCGGGTTGGGCCTTGGCGGCTTGGGTTTGGGTTGTGTTCTTTGGAGGCTTCTTGGTTCTAGCTCATAAATGCTTGAGCTAATGTTTAGCTCATTAATATGAAAATGTATTCCTCTTGCTAGCTCATTAAGTGGAGTTGGATCTTTGCCTTTTCCCCTTCTTTGTGTCCCCTCAGTTTCTTCTTGGTGCTGTTTCTCGTGACTGGTTCTTTCTCCCTTGATACGTACTGGTTCCGATCCCCTGTGCTACCCCTTCGGTTTCTCCCCTGGCTGCTGTTTCGAGTCCCTGTGCTGCCCCTTCGGTTCCTCCCCTAGCTGCTTGCCCCGTGGCTGTTTTTGCTGGTTTTTGTGTGGTTGTTTGGGAGCTATTTTGGAATGAATGCAGGCTCCCTTTATGGTTGTTTGGGTGTTGTTTTTGGACAGCCCCTTGGCATTCCATTTTATCTATTTTAATTGGTTTAATTAGAATTATTTAATGGTTGTTTGGCTTCCCCATTTCCCCTATAAATATGTGATGTTTTGTAATGAAAAGAGAGTTTTTAGAGTGTGTTATGTGCCAATTTTTGGAAGAAACCTGAGGGTGTCTTTTAGGATAGCTTGCGAGCTATACCTTTTCTCTTCCTCTTTCTCTAGGAAAGCTTGCGAGCTTGTCCTCTCTTCATCTTGGGCTTCTAACATCTTTCTTCTCTCCGCAAGTTCGACGTCACCTGTATCTTTCTTATCAAGGAAATGTAAGTTTAGAATTTTATTTTATAAGTTTGTAATGTCATGTTTTGTGTAAAAGTTTATAAAGTTTATTGTTTGTCGTATAAGTTGTAATTTGTCGTATTTTTGAGTAGTTTATCTAGTTTGTTGTTTGTCGTATAAGTAAGGTATGATACTTACAAGATCAATAAGATTGATCTACCAAAAAACACCTTTCGTTCTCCCCCTTCAGCGGCCCTTGCCTCCTTCCTTAACAAGTCGAAGACGCACTTCTCAGATCAGTGACGGCCTGTCCAGCGGAGCTGGGTGCCGGGCCTTGGATGCGCTAGAGATCGGCACATTAGGGTAGTGCTTTCCCGGGTTTATTGGCCTGGTATCAATTATTTAGTCGAACTCTGATAGTCTCTAGTCTTTAGGTTTCACTATTTTGGGAGAACCAGAACAGCATAACCTATATATTTAACTTTCACATAGAACTTTCTTATTGTTTTTCTTGCCAAAAAGAAGAAATAGCTTCTTAGATTATCTTCAATACCTTTTTGGCTCGACTAGTGCCTTTTCTTTTATGGGCTGCTAACCCCAACCTTCTTGACCGTTTTTCGACTAGCAACTCCTGACCCTTCTGCTGTTTGCTAGCCTTCTATCACTTCTATGAAGACACTATTGAGTATTTGAGTTGCTTTCACCTGGCAGTTTTTGCAAAAGAAAATATCAGGATTCTTTGCTTCTGCCTTAGTACTTTATTCAACTTGCTTTCGTGCAAAGAAATTTAGTAACTTCATTATCTATAGCTTTTTTAAAGCGCTTGTTTTGAAAGTTGTGTTTTAATTTGTGTTATTTTGTTACTGTGCCAGCATAATTGCTTCTTAAGTGCATCTTTTGGCTGCATTTTGATTGGCTAGTTCCTGTTGTTGACCCTAATCATTATTTCATCAATTTAATATAGTTCGACTTATTTTATGATTTCTGTTGTGTTCGTGCCATACAAAGGCTTGTTGTTTAATTTTCATTTAATGATTTACTATTATAGTCTCAACACATAAATGACTTTTTGTAAGATTCAATCAAGTTTTAATGGTTTTTTTTTATTATTCTGCTTGCTTGAATCCTATGCAGTTATGGGACATGAAATTTGTTCACCATATATCATCTCTTCCCGCTGTGAAAAGGGTTGTAGCTTTGGGAACTCTTTTTGCTATTGAGATCCGTGCAAAGGGCGCTGACTTAGGGTACGTATTTTTTTTCCTAGCAAAGGCTATGATGAAACATTGAAAAAAATTGAGGCATTTGCATGTCTGAAATGCCTACTAAGCCTGGCATTTTTCCCGCTTTACTAATGCAATTATTACGTTAAGACTTGTGAGTACATTCATGCATATAACGAACCAGCCAGCCTGGAACCTTACTTCAGGGTTCAAAGAACTAAAGTTTTCCCATGAAATTTGTTCCCTTGGCGTAATTAGCACCCTTGGATATAGATGTGTCAAATGATGTTAATGTTATTAAAGATATGTATGATAGAGAATTTACTAGTATTAACAATACTCCTTGAGTAACTAAAAAGTTGTTTCCAATTATAATAGGAATGCAACAAGGATGAACATTAAGTGCATATCTTTTTGCATTGTTTATTGGATACTTATAAAAACTGTTCAAAGTGAGGTACCTTAGTGTATTTTTTTATGATAATAATAGTTGATGAGAATGTTTGAACATTAAAGAAAGTTTTAGAAGGATAAAAGGGTTTAGATTAATAGAAAAGACATAATATATGTAATTTTGATAGGTGTGAAACTAAAAATCATCAGTTAATATTATTAAAATAGAAAGCAATATTTAGGTATGATATGTAAGTTATCTAAGATTTGTTATTCAGAAGAATAGACAAAAATATGCCTTCTAGCTTTATGGTTGCATTGCCAAAATGGAGAATTTCCTTAGGTGTGTTATGCACTAAGACAATATTATGGAGATTTAAAAATAAGCTTTATACACTTAGGCCAATTGCGCTGTATAGATTATGTATTTGCGTTTCAAAAGTATGAAGTCATTGATAGTTGTAGGCTCCGAAAATTTGAGCGTTTGGAACCCAATCTCTATGTATATTCGGGGAGAGTTATAGCATATTAAGTTCCGGAGAAAAATTTTGGAAGTAGATAGAGATAAGTTACTCCCCATAGATTTCACCATCTTAGCGAGGACTTTAAAATATGAGTTCTGATTTCCCATAGGCGCAAGCCCCTATAGTTAATTATTCCTCTCGATAACGAGAGAGCATTTTCGATTAAGGCTAGTCATGAAATAAATACTTAGTATCTAGCGTATAGTAGCAGCAATTTTTTATGTAAAATTTAATATTTAAATTTAAAATTTCAGCACCTTACACTTACAGTGGATGGTGAGAGGAAGATCCTATGGTTCCATCGTTCTGGGTCATCATGGTCCCTAGTATGTTTAGTTAGAGGAGGTAGTTGAGTTAACCTAATCAAATGATCTTTGTTGGCAACCATGGGTTGCTTCATACAAGGGGACCTTGTAAACTTGGGAAGAATATTTGCCTAAGGCTAAAAGTGGATTTTGTGCCCTATTGATTATACCATATACTTCATTACTCAGTGGTAAGTAGCTATTGGGGTACATACGGGCTTTTAGCCATGACCGTAATACAGTGGCGTCGTTCGACCAAGCCACTAGGCTGTAGGGTTGCAGTCTTAGTCATTAATCACATGGAGCCTTCCTAGCCAAGCCACAAGTTCTTTGTGGAGGTGTCTGGCCAAAAACCATTGATTAGAGGACCAATCATAATTTTTATTACGTAGAGCTGTTTAACCAATCTACTAGTTTTATGGAGTCATCTGGCCAAGCCGATTAAAGGACAATTGCCACGTCCTTACTGGCATGAAATCATTTGAGAATGAATATGAGTGATATTTTCGACTGAACATTTGTTCTTTATACGCTAGAGTTATTCTTGAGTTCATCATCCTTATCAAATAATTGCGGAGGGTGGATGAGTTTTGTTTTAAGTTTATATGATTAAATTGTAATTTTAAATAATAATATTTTGATAAACATTGAGCTTGAGCATAAAAAATAATAAATAAAAAAATAAAAAAAAATTGAGCATGAGGATATTAATGAAATTTGAAAATTACCCCCCAGTTTAGATTTATGTTCAACGTAACCATCATTGGGGTGAAATTAAAGTCATTTCAAAGTATTCATATTTGTTAAAGTTTGGAGGTATTTAAAAGGTAGAGTCCCCTCCGGTTAAGATTAGCGTTCAACACGAGTATCATCGGGATGACATTAAAGTCATTTTAAAATATTTGTATTTCGTGTAAGTTTAGAGGTATTTAGAAAGTAGAATCCTCTCTAGTGGAGATTAGCTTTCAACACGACCATCATCGAGGAATTTAAATTGTCTTGTATATTTGTCATTTGAATTGTGTCAATTCTATTCTCGACCGTTAATAGAAGATCGGGTTCGATTATTGATATTGTAAGTTATTGTACGAATGCTAAGAATCAAGTGATTTATGTTTTATGATACATTTTGATGTAAGCAACTTGAAGCAAAAACACAGAGGATATTAATGAAATTTGAAAATTACCCCCCAGTTTAGATTTATGTTCAACGTAACCATCATTGGGGTGAAATTAAAGTCATTTCAAAGTATTCATATTTGTTAAAGTTTGGAGGTATTTAAAAGGTAGAGTCCCCTCCGGTTAAGATTAGCGTTCAACACGAGTATCATCGGGATGACATTAAAGTCATTTTAAAATATTTGTATTTCGTGTAAGTTTAGAGGCATTTAGAAAGTAGAATCCTCTCTAGTGGAGATTAGCTTTCAACACGACCATCATCGAGAAATTTAAATAGCTTGTATATTTGTCATTTGAATTGTGTCAATTCTATTCTCAACTGTTAATAGAAGATCGGGTTCGATTATTGATATTGTAAGTTATTGTACGAATGCTAAGAACCAAGTGCTTTATGTTTTATGATGCATTCCATCTAAAGAGCCTTTGAAAGTCTAATGTGGACATTATATTTAAATATCTTGGTGGGTTTGTGATTAGTTATTCAATTGTTAATTCAAATAATATCAACTCCAATCTTTTCAAGGAGGAGGTTCAAACTTGAATATTTGACCAGCGCAACATTCTCAGACCTTTGAATTAGGAGTTTAAAGCAACGGTCAGAGTACATGTGGATATTTAGTTTTAAAATAGGATTTAACATTAGTGAGCTTTTAATCTCTGCACAGCATTCTCAAACATTTGTGTTTGCAGACTTCACATGTTCGTCAGAGCACATGCGGGGCTTAAAAATCTTCTTTTAAATTAATGTGTATGTTTTTCAATACTATGGCATGTTTCTCGAGGCGATATAACACTTCTCGAGGTGGTAGCACTCTTCTCGAGGCTATTGCATGCTTCTGGAGGCAACATGCATATGTTTAAGAATTTGTATTTTAATGCATGAGAAAGATTTTAAAAATATTTAAATTTTATCATTTGTGCAAGTGCTTGTTATTGGTGTGTGCACAAGATTTCTTTTAGGGGCTTACAAACACCTTCTATGTGCTTAGATGGCTATTGCAGATTCGGTGGCGTGACAACATATTAGATTTCAGTTGTTGCATATAGAGATATATTATTTAGTTCATTTTTCCTCCCAAGTTATCATTTAGCACAATTCGTAGAGGATTTTTGTTCAATCAACATAAGATTGTGTTCGTTGCTTGCAAATGAGCTATACTATTCGCTACGAATCTCCTATTATTGTATGTAGGCTAGTTGTGTGCACTACCAATTCACTGCTTTTGCTCACAAATGAATTGTAGTGTTTATTGCTACTCTATTCTTGCTCGCAAGCGGGCTAATTTGTTTGATATGATCCCCCCTTACCCTTGCCATAGGCATATTATTATTTGCACTACGAACTTCTTGCTCCTGCTTACAAGTGAGTTGTATTGTTTATTAAAGGTCCTTTGTTGTTCGTAGGCAAGTTACTGTGTGACTATGAATTCCTTGCCTTGTACTCACAGGAGAATTGTAGTGTGCATTAAAAGTTATTTCTTGCTTGTAAGCGAGCTGCTTTGTTCAATAGAGGTCCTTGTATTTTCCCGTAGGCGAGCTAATATATTTATTACATGTTCTCTATTCTCACCCGTTGTTGAACTATTATATTGCAAGTTCCTTGCTCGTGCCTGTATTACAAGTTTTCTGCTTTTACCCGTACGTAAGCTATAGTATCCATTAAATATCTCGCGTTACTGCTTGTAGGCAAGCTGCAGTATTCTCTACAATTTTGCTAATACTAACTATAGGTAAGTTGTTATGCATATAAAAATCCTTGTTCACCACTAGCCTCCTGCTCAGTCTTTTAACTTTATGAATTTGATTTAGTTATAAGTTAACTTAAATGTTCTATTCATTGTTCATTTAGGCCTGGTTCCTGTAAAATTATTTAAGTCTTTATTTTCTTTGCATTTTTAATTGTGCGGGTCATATATAAATTTCTAAGTCCAATAATAGTTCAGGCAAGATTTTGGCATCCTCTTGATGTCTTCCCCTGTGTAGAGAGAATTTTGGGAAACTGATCCTGACCACCATGCTACGAAAAACATGTGTGGCTGCTGTTAGGAGACACCATGACTGATATTTTCAATCCCACCACGCTATGAAGAGCATATATGAGTCTTAGAATACCTACCAAAAAGCTCTCAAATTTCTTTGCCAGCATAAAAGCACAAATGAGTACTTAGGAGTGTCTCCAGCGTGCTATGAAAAGCACGTACAGGGCCTACCCGCTTCGCCGCTGACGTCGCCTTCGAATTTTCTTATGTCATGCTAAAAAAAGCACGTACAAGGGGTTGCATGTAGTGTCGTAAACTTCGACAACAGGATTTCAGGTTTAGAGTTGGCGAGCATTTTAACTTTTTCATGAGAGATAGTGGAGTCGATAGCACGAGGGATCAAATCACACAAAATATTCTCTTCTTTTTTTTTTTCTTTTTCCTCTTTTTTGACTCTCTTTTTTTCTCTTTTTTCTTTTTTTTTACTAATAATAATAATAGTAGTAGAGAGAGAAAGGTAAAAAAATCTCTTTATTAGAGAAAATAAAAGCGATTTGCCTTAGAAATTTAGTTTAGTGGGTTGGTTGCAGTGGAGATGCAAAGGGGTTGTTTGGGTGATGTAGTGTAGGAAGTAAGGGGGTTTAGTGGATGAGGAAGGCTCAATCCGCTGCTAGAGAGGAAGTGGGTTGTTGCTTGTTCGAATGGGGAGATCGGATTAGTTGCAGGTGGGTTCAATCCTTAGGTCGTTGGTTGAGGGTAATGAGAAGAGGTTGGTTGTTGTAGTCGGTACACAATGATGGAGGAAGGTTGATGTTGTGGCGTCGATGACTGTGTTGGAGTAGAGCTGTAGCTGCTCGGATAGATGAGGGTCTAGGCTTTGGTTAGTGAAGAGAGGTTGTTTTACATGAAGGGAGAGAGTATGGGAGGTGCAGGTGTTGCTGCGGTTGGGAGATTGCATGTGAGGTAGAGGCTCTGATGCACGGACACTTCGTTTTAAGAGGGTATGCAGTGTCGGACATGTGTCGGTCACGGACACACGTCCGACACGGCGAGGACACGTGTCGGACACGTCATTAGTGTGTCCCATTAAAAAATTTTAAATCGGACACGCATGTCCAGCTATTGTATAATTAAATAAATAAATAAATAACCCTATTCCCGATATTTCATATTAGCTTGTTCACGCTCGAGTCTTCACTTCGCCTTAATCCCATATTCCTATTCGTATTTGTGGTCTTCTGATGCATTTAGATTTTTGCATTATTTTTGTTTTGAACAATATTAGTTGTATTTTATATTTTTGTTTTATTTTTATGCTATCCAATGATGGTGGTAAATCCAATGATCATGGTTGGATAAGGTTTGGGTTATGCTTACCTTGGGTTTGCTGGCTTTGGGGTCCATCTTGTCCTTTGGGCTGCTTGTTGGTTTCATATGGGTCTTGGCTATTGGAATTCTAGTAGTGTCAGCTCATTATTATCAAATGGAGGTGTAGCTCATTATGAGCTAATGTTTAGCTTTGAAATTAAAGAAAATTGGAACAAGATTTGATGAATGGATCTTGCCCTTTCATCTTCTTGATGACTCTTGGGCTGGTGCGGTTATCTGCTGGATTTCTCCCATGGTTTGCTTTGGTTTCCTGCTGACCCTTTGGTTTACTACCTAATTTATTGCCGTGGTCCCTTTTTTACCGTGAATTGAACTTACCTTTTGGAACTTGTGAAAAAACTGCTGGTTTCCTGTGCTTGGCTGTTGGAACCGTGGCCACCTCCTGGAGTTTTGAGGTGCCGTTTGGGGTTTCTTTGCTGCCGTGACTTCCTACCTCTTCTGTGAAAACCCGAAAATGCCGTTTTAGACCTCGCACGCTTTTCAAAGTGCCGCGACGAGTTTTAAGTGAAAGAAACTTCTAATTGGAGCTGTAAGCCCCAAACTAAATAAATTAACGGGCAACTCCTAATTGGAGCCGTAAGCCCCAAACTAAATAAATTAACGGGCAACTCCTAATTGGAGCCGTAAGCCCCAAACTAAATAAATTAACGTGCAACTTCTAAGGAAGCCATAAGCCCCAACCCAAATTAAATCAAACTAAAATCCACATCTAACCACTTCAGTCTACTCGGGATCCCTGAGAGGAGGCAACCCATGACTGCTAATCAGATTCCCTGGACACTACGGTCAATGATTGCTAGTGTTGGTAGACTGAAATCTATGGTATACCCGGGACGACGGAACCATGGGATCTTGATCGGGTTTACCTCCATCTCCCCTACTATTGAGACTAAAATTAACTAAAATTTATTTCATCCTTAATCGAGAGTTCTCTCTTACGTTGTAAGAGGGGTAATTAACTATGGGCGCTTGCGCTCATAGGAAGTAAGAACCCCAGATCTATAAACCCTGACACTACCCTCAGGGGAAATCTGGTTAATTTCAATCTGACTTAAGGGAAGTGGAATCCTACGGCTGCAAAGCGGGATTCGTGCATTCGTGCCATTTTTCTTGAGCCAACAAGTGGGTTGGTTGCCGTGGAGATGCAAAGGGGTTGTTTGGGTGATGTAGTGTAGGAAGTAAGGGGGTTTAGTGGATGAGGAAGTGCCTTCCAATCCGCTGCTGGAGAGGAAATACAAGAGAGAGGAAGTGGGTTGCTGCTTGTTCGAATGGGGAGATCAGATCAGTTGCAGGTGGGTTCAATCCTTGGGTTGTTGGTTGAGGGTAATGAGAAGAGGTTGGTTGTTGTAGTCGGTACACAATGATGGAGGAAGGTTGATGTTGTGACGTGGATGATTGTGTTGGATGAGAGTTGTAGCTGCTCGGATAGATGAGGGTCTAGGCTTTGGTTAGTGAAGAGGGGTTGTTTTACATGAAGGGAGGGAGTATGGGAGGTGCAAGTGTTGCTGCGGTTGGGAGATTGCATGTGGGGTAGAGGCTCTGATGCACGGACACTTCGTTTTAAGAGGGTATGCAGTTTCGGACATGTGTCGGTCACGGACACACGTCCGACACGGCGAGGACACGTGTTAGACACATCATTAGTGTGTCCCATTAAAAAAAATTAAATCGGACACGCGTATCTGGCTATTGTATAATTAAATAAATAAATAAATAACCCTAATCCCGCTATTTCATATAGCATGTTCACGCTCGAGTCTTCACTTCGCCTTAATCCCATATTCCTATTCGTATTTGTGGTCTTCCCTAGCGATTGAGACGAACAACGGTCAGCTGGAGATCGCACCCTTGGTCTTCCCTTCCGGCCGTAAGCAACAAGCCATCCTCCTTAATTTCTAGTAAATAAATAAATAATTTTATATGCTTTGTATTATTTGAAAGTATTCAAGTAAAGAATGGCTTCAAGAAGACCCTCAACGTGTCTCACCACAAAAAGATTTATAAGTGTCAAATATGATAAAGATATGCTTGAAACGATATTTCCCAAATGAGGAGGAGAGAAGAAAAAATTAATATAGAACTTGCAAAGTTCTTTGGATATTTAGAGGATTTTGGTGATCAAGAATCTTTGGTTGATAGATGGAGGATGGATCCAAAAATGTGGTGATTGAGTTATGGAGCTTCAGCACCGCTTCTTCAAAGCATAGCAATAAAACTTCTTGGTCAAGTATCATCCTCTTCCTGTTGTGAGAGAAATTGGAGCACATACTCATTTATTCAATCAATGAAGAGGAATAAAATAACTCCACAATGGGCTGAAGATTTAGTTTATGTGCATACAAATCTTCGTCTTCTATCAAAAAAAATCTCACTTTATATGACAGGTGATAACAAGATGTGGGATGTTGCTGAAGATGGGTTCGAGTGTCTTGATGATATGGGATTATTGGATGTTGCAAATCTTTCTCTAGATGAACCAGAGTTGGAAGCAATGATATTCAATGATGATGATATTGTAGGCCAAAGATCTATCTTTGAATTTAATTCTATCATTCCGTCTATTGAGTAGTTGGATCTTCATATTGTACTAAATAGTTTTTTGCTTATATTTTTGAGGTTGTACTAGACATTTTGTACTAAACATCTTTATGTTATAAGCTAAATAAGTTATCATGACTTTGATTTATTATTGATTGTCATTTTTAATATAATATTACCTTAATTTATATATATTATAGTAAAAAATTATTATGTCATGTCCACGCTGCACAAGTGTCCTATATTTTTAAAAAATGTCATGTTTGTGTCAAGTCGTGTCCGTCGGTGCATCATAGGGTAGAGGGTTTGGTCCTATGAGGTCGAACGAGGTAGCGGGGTTGAAGGTGTTGATTGGTTGTAGAAGTTCGGTCTCTGGAATGAGAGAGGAGCTGAAGTCGAAGCAGAGAATGAGGGAGTTGAGTTAATCCAACCATTTCTCAAGCTGAGGGAGAGCAGTTCTGGAGAAGTGGAGTATGCAACGGCTTGGGTATTTCGGGAGCTAGAAGATCGAAATGTGGAGAAGATGTAGCATAAAAAATGGGAGGGAATTAGGCTTTGGTTATATTTGTTTATTCAAGTGAGCAGTTGTTTCCAGGGATAAGAAGATGGACAGCTGCTATTTTGGGGGATTTGCAGGATTTTGGCAAGGATACGTGCACCTCATTTTGTGTGTCATCAACTCGAAATTCATGCAAATTTTTAATTTTCACTTGTGCAACAACCCTGACAACATTACTAACAATTCTAGATATTTTCGACATTCGGACATAACATTGAAGTCCGTTTTGAGAATGGACATTGTTCTGCCAATTTTGTGCATTGTCACCTCAAAACTTGTGCAAATTTATCATTTTCACATTATGCAGTGATATGTGTAATATTACAATTTTTTTGGAATTATTGATGTTCAGGATGCAACGACGAAGACCGTTTTGTGTACAGGCAACATTCGGGCAATGTCGCATATCGTCGCGTCTGTAGACCGTTAATTTTGATCGACTTCGCTCGGTTCGATCATAAGCGAGTCCTTATTGGGTAATTTTAATGTTTCGATCGCAATGATAAAATCCATTTCATGATCGGATAAAGTTTTGAGCTATTTTAATAGTGATCGAAGTGCCCCGATGCTGGTGATAAGCGACACATCTGTTAATCATCTTCTTCGATGCACTCGATTGATCGTGGAATATGTATAGAGGTCAATAATGGCAAAGTTGATTGTAACATAAATAATGATATTAAGATGAATGTGTTAATTTGGAAGGATTGTTTGAGGAATGATTATATTAAAGGTTTGATGAAAGTAGCATTTATTAAAATGAGGTTGTGAAGAATAGACTTAAGTAGTTTTGACATGTAAGAGAACAGGTAGAAATGGACCTATAAGATGGCGGGAAAACTTAGATTGCATGTGGAAGGAATAGGGGTATAGCAAATTTAACATGGATGGAGGTTGCACAAAAATGATTTCACCTAATATATTTAATACCTCATGCAACATTTACTAAAATCAAATGAAGAGTGAGGATTCATAATGCTGACCTAAAACAGTAGTGATAAGGCTTATGATGTCATGAAAATTTGTTTTGCTTAATATTTTGTCAAAATATTCCCTCTTTAACTTAATTTATATCATCCCTCTGTAGATATGCGTCATTACAGGCTAGCTCTCTGGTCCAGCAGCTCCGGGAGGATGGTATTTTCATGAGGCCCTTGGGAAATGTCATTTATCTCATGTGTGGCCCATGCACTTCTCAACATTTTTGCAGTCAACAGCTTATCAAAGTACACCAAAGAATCTCCAAGTTCAGTGAAGCTTGGGTGAAGGAATCACAATTTGATCAAACTTATGGAAACCAAATTTTCTAGTGTATGTATTAGTGAATGTTAACATTTGAACACTCTTAATACTAGTTTATTTACAAATTTTTATATCTTATTTCGTATAACTGTACTCTTATGTTTTCAATTAGTGTTCTAAATTGATAAATGATTTTGTTCCCGTAGTGATTACTTCAATCCATCCCTCCTGTCAAAAAGTTTCAGTTCACTCTATTATTTGAGTGAGGAACATGACAAATTATTTTGTGCGGAGTCCGGATGTCATCCAAAGATCAATAAAAATATGTCACGTCATCCCAAAAGTGTACTGCACTCTGTACCGAGCGCGATATCGAGCATCGGAACCGCTCGGTACCAAGCGGTACCGGACGGTTCTCCCATCTGGTGTCCGCACAGAATAATCTCTCTAGGAACATAGTTGTTTTTTATCAGTGGCAGTCTTCTCATGAAACATTATGTTTAGCTACGGAATGCAGAATATATTCTTTGCATACTAAGGTTCGAGTTTGTATTCTTCCTCTAGGTATGTACTTTAATTCTTTTATTCTCCCTGTCTGGCGTAGTTGAGTTCTATCTAACTCTACGAGCCAATCAAGTAGCTACTTTGTAATGAAGCTTTTTTTTTTTTTTTGTTAGAATAAAGATTGTCCTGTAGGTAGTGCCTGTGAAATTATGCTTGATACAGCTATTTCTAGTTGGCATATGGCACAGATTTTTTGTTTACTTTGCCTTCCAGTTTATTTTGTTTGTTGACATCCAGAATAATGGAATTAAGCATCTTATAAAATATAAATTGCACTTGTGATTTTCTGGAGCTCCATGATTGGCTGAGGATTGAAATAAACATCTTTTGCCCTAAATTTATTAATCGTTCGCCAGTTTTACCCATCCCTCCTCCCGTCATTCGCAGAATAGTGGTCGAAGGCTCGAAGCCCTCTCGTTCCATCGTTTGCAACTTGCAAGATCAGGTCGCCTTCGCAATCGTAAGAGGTCGCCGGTCTTCACCTTCACATATCTCAAGAGTTTGCCCGCCCTAAAAAAATAGTCTGGATCCATCCTTGTGGCTGGGTTCAGCATAAGAGGATCCACAGAGAGAGATAAGGGAGAGGCTTGGTGGGGGCAAATTATTGCGTCCAGTCACCTGACATGCGGACAACCAATCCAGAGATGCCACCTCACCCGGATGCACTGGGCCCCGATATTTTTGAGTGATGTGGCGTGTTTTTATTGGTGTCCGGACGAATCCGGACACCGGACACAATAATTTGCCCTTGGTGGGGGTATGTTTCTTCTCAATTCTTTTTCTCTTTCAACTAACTTTTCATATGATATGTGAGTAAGAATCAATGGAATTTTTTATTTTTTTATTTTGAACTGATACCTAATGCTTTGTGGATTGATTTGTGGGTCTTTTAGGCATTTCTAAAGATGTTGTAAACAATTGATGTGCCTTTGAATATATGATGCCATTTCGAATTGACAGACGTCTCTGTACAAACGGTAAATTATTGCATCCGGCCACCGGACGTGAAGATAGGTCCGGATATTAATAAAATTTTATTTTAAATTAAGCGGGTCAAAAATGTAGGTAAAGCGCAGGTTAAGCACAAGTAAAGCACTGTCAAAAGCGCAGTCTAAAGAGCAGGTAAAGCTCAGTCAAAGCGCAACTAAAGCGCAGTCAAAAGCGCAGGTGACGTAGCACGTTTTTATTGGATGTTCGAACCTATTCTGCGCTTCGGTGACCGGATGCAATAATTTGCCGTACAAACGAGCAAACAGTTGAGGTTTGAAACTGGTTTTAGATTGTTGTAGAAAAATTATCTTTACTCTATGAACCAAACTCCGTCCAACCACTTGGAAGTTTGTTTAGGTACTCGTACACCTTTTAATTCATATATCATTTTAGTTGAACTAGCTCATATTAGACTGATCAGATTCATGAGTTGTTTGGGACGACTTGTTTATTATTTAATAAAACAGAGTTGTAGTACAAAAATTAAAATTTTGTTTTAAGTGAAAAGGTCGTCCCAAACCAAACCTCAATGGATGAAGAAATTATTCTATGCGGACATCAGACTGTCCGGAGATCAACTAAAATGCATCACGTCATTTGATAAACAGCAGTATCGAGCACCGGTATTAAGTAAAAAAATGATGTGACTCATTTTGATTGATCTTCGAATGTTGTTCATTGTCCGCACAGAATAATTTTTTCAATGAAGAGTGGCAGTTGATTGTACCAAAGTGATTTTTGTAAGGCCTGTACCTGAAAGGAGGATGGGCATTCATAGTGAGCAGGTTGGTTGTGTTGATTGATGGATGTCAAATTTCTTCTTCGGGAAGGAATTAATTCGTGGTATAAAGCAAACACTGATATCACAGCATCATCAAATCAAATTTGATATCTTCAAGGAGCTTTTATTCTGTCCGGTTAAGCACTGGGTATCCAACGGTATTGAATGCGGGTATCGATCTGGGTACCCACCAATGAGATGATGTGGCGCGTTTTTATTAGTCTCCAGTCTCCCTCCGCATTCCGCACAGAATAATTCTTCCTTCAAGGGTGAGATATATATATATATTATAAAAAAAAACTATTGGGTGAAAATCACATGGAGAGTATTCACTAGTAATGAATGAATAAATACCGTCAAAGCAAGTCGATCAGTATCAGGATCAAGATGTATAATAATATATTTGTTGTATAAAATACACATAAACTTGCATTTATTATTTATTCAGTTTATAATGTACTTTAGGGTATGAAGTAAAAATTTTAAACTAATCTTTTGCTTGAGTTGCTTAAGGAGGTTTATGAAGTTCTTAAACAGCAATTTTTATCTTTACCCTAAATTGTAGGCTTATGAGGTTAAAGTTAGGCTTATGGGGTTAAAGTTAGGCTTAGGAGGCTAAAGTTAAAGTGGTTTATCACTCCTTAATTGGCATGTTGAAGGTTGAAGGTTATTAAGGGACTATTATTTTGGGCAATCTTATAATTCTGAAAATCAGTATTAGACTTCAAATTCATGTGTTTTTTTTTTTTTTTTTTGAACTGATTTGTTTGGTTAGAAGAAAAGCAAAATGTAAAATAAAGTAAATGTATTATTCATTTTTTAGTGTTCGGTTGATTAAAAAGCAGATCTAAGGTTAAGTAAGGTAAATGCAATGTATTCCATTTTAGTTTATTTTTTAGGTAAAATTTTATCGCCCAATTTGAGCGAGAGCATTTTACACCACTCAAAGTGCTTCTTTGACCGCCCATGGCAACCATCATCTCCACCAACACCTGTTGTCCGCTGCCTGCCACCATCGTCTTTCAGCAGTCCCAACGGTCTCCGCCGCAGCCACTCGATAGAATTCACTTTACTTTAAAAAAAAAAAACCATGCATTCTTTTTGCACTCGTCCAAACAACTCTAAAGTATTTTTTTTACATCCTATTCTTTTTTAAGACAATCAAATAGTCCCTTAAAATAGAAAATAACAATATTTGGATTTGACATTAAAATTTATTTGTTGTTGAACCCACCAATATCTAAGCTAAGATGATAAATACCACAATTCAAAGTAAGATTAAGTTATTCTTCTTCATCATTGATCTCATTATTCAAAACATGAATCATATAAATAGAAGGTGAAATAAAGCACTTGAAAATTGGATTATCCATTTCATTAACATCAAAATCTACAATAATTTCATGATGGATAAATTTATTATATGAATAATTAAATATTAAAAAAAATTAAAAATATCTAAGACAATTCAAAGCAAAGACTTATATTTATTATAATTGATGAATTAAAAAAATAATTAAAAGTTTTGTATTCTTAGTACTAAATGCCGACGAGTCTTAAATATAAAATTCATATTATTAACATTAATTTCAAAAATATTACAAAAAATGTAAAACTTCATCAAATAAAGAATTTCGTTCATTATCTCTCATCATCGACAATCATTGTCTTGAAATATGTATTCCAAATGCTATTAAATACATCTCATTAATTATGAGAAATAAAATCATAGAAATTAAATACTATATTTACTACTTGGATAATTATATTGTTCAGTAAAAATGTTTTTTTTCTTAAATTGAATAAATAAGGAAATTAGTTCTTATCTTCACTATTTTTTCCTTAAGTGAACAACTCTTTACAAATCTTATCTTCTTCTAATTCTTCAAGGATTTTATGAATATAGTTTTTCTTTAAAATTTATATGGAATTTTTTTTGCTGCATTTTTTTGTGCTTTCAAGGAACTTGAAATTATTTATTTGAGGTAATATTTCTTAATGCACTTTCAAATTCCAAAGGTTTCTTTGAATAAAAGCATACATTGCAAATATGTTGGGTCATTAATTATTTAAGAGATCATTAAAGTTTTTGTTTCAAAGTTTTGTTTGTATAAGCTTAAAGTGTTTACAAAAATTCTTAAATATTATTTTCTTATTCAGGAGTTCTCTTCAACTTCCACGTTTCTTTCCTCTTAGCATAAAGAAATTTTAAGATTTGGTTATACGTTTCTCTAGATTTTTTAAGAAAGCTGAACTTATTTCATTTCTTAGAAATAGTGTCAATTTTGATGTTAGAGCAATATTTTTCTGTCCGTGAGGATCCCGCCAGAGCGCCTTCTACTTCTAATAGTAATAATAGTAATAGGCCATGAACTAGATCAGAATCATTCTCAACGAATCCATAAGAAGTGATCCAATCTTTTTCATCGTGTCTGGATGAAGACCAAAGATCTTGAGCGACCGATCCGGCAATTACAAGTTTTGCACCTTCGTTGCTCTCTAAATAAATGAATGAGTAGTTATTGATGTGAACAAGAATAGAAGGGGCAAGGATAGGCGGACAGAGTGTTGCATGTCGGCATACATTATCTATATTTGGAATGGTTAAACCAAAGAGGAGAGAGGGAGAGAAAAGAGAGTGCATAAGGAGCTTGCGACTTGCGAGCTACAATTGTTAGGCAGTTGCAGACAGGACTTAGGGACGTATAAGTAGTGGGTTTTTTTATAGGATTTAGGCTGAAAACAAATTTTTAGGAGGGGCAAAATTTCAAAAATACCTTTCTTTATAACTTTGTATTAATTTTGAGGGTGGGCAATTGTCCACCCTTAGCAGAGTTGGGTTCCGTTATTGAGTACATGGTACATATTGGGCCAACTTCTTCCTATGTTTTTTTAAGTGCTATCCTCATTAATATCCAGGACATAGCTTATGCTTCCAAGCAATTAAAGCCACATGAAAGAAATTATTCAACCTATGATCTTAAGTTATAAGCTATTATTTTATCTTTGAAAATCTAGATGTATTATTTATGCGAAGTCAGATGTGAAATCTTCCCTGATTATTAAAGTTTTAAGTATATTTTTTACTCAGAAGAAATTAAATCTGAGATAAAAAAGATAAATTGAGCTGATAAAAGATTATTATCTAGGTATTTAATATCAACCTGGTAAAGCCAATGCAGTTGTAGATGCTCTGAGATGGAAGTCTTCTGGAGTATCAAGTTGCCTACTTATGTTGAATTTCTGATCTATTATTTGGAAATGTTAGAGTTAGAGGTGGTAAAGTCCATTGACCTATATTATGGTAGACTTTCTCAAATGATCGTATAGCCTTCTCTGAAGCAAAGAATTTCAAATGCTTAATAGTTTGATAAATAATATTTCAAGTTTGTTGATCAAATCCAATCTTTGAACTACAATAAATGATTCTAGTGTGATATTTTATAAGGATAAATTATGGGTTCC